CCGGGCGCCGCGCGCACACACCGGGCCGGCTCCCGAGGGCTCCGGCGCGGCCCCGGGGAAGGCGAGCGGGGAGCGCGCGGCCTGCGGTCGGCGGCCCGGCGGCCGGGAAGATGGTGTCGTGGATGATCTCCCGAGCCGTGGTGTAAGTACCGGAGGGTGCTGCGGGGGGAGGGGAGGCGCTCGGGGCCCGGTCATCGGGGCCGAGCCCGACGGGCCGCGCGGCCTGCTCACCCGTGTCCGAGTCGCTGCGGGGCTCCGGGGCGGCGGCGCCGGGAGCAGGGCGCGGGCGGGCGGGCGGCGGGCTCCGCTCCGTGGAGCTGCTCCCCGGCGCGCGGCGGCCTCCGCCCGGCTTCTCCGCGGCCTCTTCTCCGCTCCTCGGCGGTGCGCGCGGCGGGCGCTACTCGGCTGCTCTCCTCGGCCTCGCGGCTGCTCCGCTGCCCGACGGTGCGCGCGGCGGGGCTCTGCTCGGCTCCGCGGCGCGCTCCCGGCTGCGGCTCCCGCTCCCGAGGCCCGCGCTGCGCGGCACCGCCCTGCGCAGGCTCCGCCGACGCTGAGCGCGGGAGGCCGGCGGGGCTCCGGATGCGCCCGAGCCTTTGTCACCAGGTCTACCGCGTTGCGGTGTCTGTCCCCCGGCGGCCGTGCGCCGCTGGGTCACGTGGAGGAGGAGGAGGAGGAGGAGAGAGCGGTGTCAGCCCTGACTGCACAGTCCCGCTCGGGGGGTCCCAGGAAGGAGCTTGTTCTGGAAAGGTCGGCCAAACCCTGACTTGGGCCCGGTTTGGGAAGAAATATTTGCGATGGAGAAGGCGCGGGCAAGGTGCCTGTCCCCTTTGTTCATTTTATTGTGATACAAACGAGAGCTGCGGATCGGAAAGGGGGGTGGGATGGGTGAGTTGTGTTGTTTAATCTGCAGTGGTATTTTAATACAAGTTAAACCGGTTCTCTTCCCATCTTCCACCTTAGTCCTCTCCGCACTAACACAAAGTCACCAAATAAACCACAGTAATTTAGGTAGAGCCTGGGGACGGGGATTCATTATTCATGTAGGAGTAATGTCATCTGAGTACCTTAATGAAATGTTTATATGAAGTAACAGGCCTCGCAGATTGGTTTATAATTTGAAGGGAGAAAATGACATTACTTGGGCTTTTTATTATTATTTGTTTTTACTATGGGGAAGGAGCTAATTTTTCTAACTTGGTTTTATTTAATTTGGAAGTGAACTAGGTAACCTAATTTGCAGTGCATTCAGAATTTGTCATCTTATGAAATGCCTCTAGCTTTAAAGTCTTCGAATTCCTCGTGTTCATCTTAAAACCCAAAATAAATAAAGTTATATACCATTGACTCCTTCATATTGTTTTTAGCCTTTTTCAGGGCAATCTTTGGTTTTCCCTTAGCCTACCTTAAGTTTCTCAACTGTTTTTACCCAGCCCTTCAAATTAAATACCACATTTTAAAAAAGCTGTTTTTGTTTTTTGATTTCTTATTCTTTATTATTGAAAGTCTGACGCTACCCCAATACAAAGGTCAGTACCACGTAGGAGATCTTACTGGAATGGACATTTCACATTCACAGATATGACTGTGCAGGTCAGAATGTCAAGTCTTATGAGGGTTATAGCCGGTGTAATACGTGATGTTAGACAAGGAACAGATTGTATGTGGTTGGAGAGTCATCAAAGAAGGCAAAAGAGATTACATTCAAAATAGACTTTAAAGAATGAACCTGACCTACATAGCCAAAGAGGAAGAAGGAAAAGATTTCTTATAGGTGAATTGGTGTAAACCAGAGCCCAGGTAGATTACAGAGTGAATGCAAGAGAGCAAGGAGAGAGAAAGCACCACCATTGTTTTATGAAGTTTGTAATCCCAGAAACACAGTGGAAGGGAGAGGTCTCCTACTGACACACCTCAGTGTCAGCCTGTGGAATTTAAGGTCTGAGGAGTAGGGGAAGCAGAAGAATGTGATTTTAAAGAAAAAGAAAACACTCAGTAAAAGATGTATTAATCAAGAGTGAAGAAATGTATTTCATGAGCCCTGGGTCCAGCATATAGTGGAAGCACAAGTGTCAGTATTCTCACGAGCATTCTGAATGTTCCCGTCGGCTCTTGAGTGTGTCTCTAAGCATGAAGGCGTCCACACAGACCTGGGCACGTGTTCTACACCGTGACATCGAATTCATTTATGTGCATCCTTCGTGGCCTACTGAAACAGCCAGCTGGTCCTAAAGAGGATCAGACAGTTTTCTCAGAGCCTTTCGTGGCATGACTCAGGGACAAAGGACCCTCCGTAACCGGAACTCCCAGGATGCACTAACAGTTCTTCACAGACAGAGCCAGAACAATGGCTTTAGAGACCTAAGTGTCACTTAATAGCTGTGTTGCCCCTCCAAGCATACCAAACCCAATTGAGCTTAAGTTGCCTTATTGTTTTCAGTTTATTGTTTTGGAGTGTCCTTGGGGATAAGTGTCAGGACAGCCTGCAGGAGTCACTTCTTTCCTTCTACCATGTGAGTCCCAGGGATTGAACTTAGGGACTTAGACTTGTCAAGCAGGCAGAGTCTCCTCATCATCACAAGACCAACAAATCAGCAGTTTTTAAAGGGGGGGGGGGGTGTACGTACACGTATGTGTGCATTTCGGCAGGACCCCAAGGAGGCCTGAATGCAACGTCAGATCCCTTGAAACAGCAGTCACAGGCAGTCATGAGCTGCCATGTGAGTGCTGGAACCAAACCTGGGCCTTCTGCAGAAGTCAGTGCTCTTAGGCCAGCTCCCCAAGTGAGCAGGTTTTAAGGACTAGGAACGTGAGCCTACAGCATAGTAGTAAAATTATATACACTGCCCAATGCCTCACATTCTGAAAGCGTGAGTCACAGATTGCGGGGAATCCCCGCTTTTCCCTAACTTTTCTTAGCTTATGTTATATAGCATTGTACACGAAATCAAAACTCAGACCAGCTTGTGTGAATTCAAATATTAGCTCTGTCACCTACTGACAATGATTCACCCCGTAAGATAAGGTTCGTTCTTACATACAATGTCCACAATCTGCATCTGAGGAAGAGTAATTATTCTGTAAGTGGCAGTAGCTGCTTTCCAAACAAGCATGCACCACCACCCCAATACCTACATATGAAACTTCAGGCTGTTGTCTGTTTTCTCCCCACCCCCTCCCCTGAGTCTGTGTTTAGATAACGTTATACATACGGAAGTTTTATGCTGTAACACTTAATAGGGAATGCTGTTATGCAGGTACAATTCTGCAGTGAACATTCTCCACATATATGTCTCCATGATTTCCTTGGGATAAGTTCATGAGGGCTATTTCTGAGTCAAACTTTATGTTTTCATGAGCATTAGTATAAAACAGAAAGGTATTAATGTCTCAGCAAAGCACAAGAACTTTATCATAGAGTGGCAGCCTAGCGATGGTGGCACACTCCTTTAAGCCCAGCCCTTGGGAGGCAGAGGCAGGTGGATCTCTGAGTTCAAGGCCAGCCTGGTCTACAGAGAGTCCAGGACAGCCAGCTTTACACAGAGAAAGCCTGTCTGGAAAGGAGAAAAAAAAAAAAAATGCAGCCTGACATACTCGTGTTAGTGTTTTGTTTCCTAATAGTATGATAGGTCTCTTTCCTTTTGTATTTTGTAACTTATTAGCAAAGTTGAATAGTTGCCCTAATATTTACTTATTAATTATCTTATTACATAAACAGTCTGTTTGTGCTTGGTCACTTACCTCCCTGACCTTCCGCTTGTCTTCTGAGTGCCTTACTAGACAGGGTAGCTCCGACTATTTCATATTGGATAGAAATATATTGTAATCTATATAGTCCGTAGTTTTTGTGGGCTGTGAGTGTGTTGGATACATACGTGGGCACCTGTGTGGGCAGCTGCATGTGCCTGCAGAGCCAAATCATAGACACCTGTGCCTGCAGGTGTCTTCCTCTGTTGCTCTCTATTGTTTGGGCCTGGGGAGCTCACCAGATGGCTGGCCTGGCTGGCCAGCAAACCTCTGGGATCCAGCCTCCTGCCTCGGCTCCCAAGCACGGCAGCTCGGGTGCATCTGCCATGCCCATTTTTTAGTGTCGGAGATGTGCGCACGGGTCCTCATGCTTGCACAGCAGAGGCTTCACCCACTGAGCCCTCTCCCCCACCCTTTAATGACATTTCCACTTGTTTTTGTTTGTTCGTGGCTATTTGGCCACTACTGCAGATCAAACGTAGGCCCTTGTCCACACTATCAAATGTTCTACCACTGAACTACATTCCCAGCTCTTAAACATGTTGGTTTTGCTTTTAACTTCATGTAAACCCAGAGGTTTAACTACTCTTTTCTCATAGACAATTGAACTATGGAGAGTTCAATATTTCTTTCTTACATAAATAACACCTTTTCATTTTTGTTTTATCATAATCATGTCATCTGGCAGTAATAGCAAAAACTGCCTTCTTCTTTCTTTAGTTGTTTGTTCTAGCTTCATTTTGTTGCTGTGACAAATATCCCAACAAAAAGCAACTAAGGGAAGAAAGAGTTTATTCTCACTCCGGGTTCCACACAGCAGTACATTATTTCAGGAAGTTAAAGCACCACATCCACAATTACAGTCGATTTCCTCCAGCTTTCTGCTCTTCAGGACCTAGGGAATGGTGCCACCCACAATGTGCTGGAGCTTCAGTTAACAAGCATAACTATTCCCCGACAGACGTGTCCATAGGCCAACCTAAACAAGTATTTGGAGAATAAATTGTATACCTAAAAACTGTGCCCCAGCTATGTCCCCTCCTCTTCCCGTCATGTCCTGTTTTACCCCTCTACCAGACATCACTTGTAAGCATAGGCTGTCTTATCATTTCGCACTCCTTTAAAAACACTCCTTTATCTGGCTGTGTTCCCCTTCTTATCTCCTCAGTTCCCTCTCTCACATAAGAATACCTCAGAGGAAGGGCTGGAGAGATGCCTCAGAGTCACTTGTTGCTCTTACAGAGGACCTGGGTTTAATTCCCAGCACCCACAGTCAGTAACTGCAGTCCCAGGGGATCTGACATCTCTCCTGATCTCCCCAGGTACCAAGCATGCACATGGTACACATGCATACATAATGTCAAAGCACCACACATAAAATAATTTTTTTCATTTTTT